GTTAAAAAAAAAATTTACTTGTGGTAAAATAAACCCATAAGCCAGTGAAGTAGGTCATGTCTTGTTGCTAAAAGGACGCTGCCTAAACCAGCCAGTTGAGCCGGCCTTTGGAAGGGTTCCTGCTCTAGCACAGCCGCTCTCGAAACTTCTGTGCTCCTTTACATTAGTCATCATTCACGGAGGTTACAGCAGGGGCAGGTGTTAAATACGATGGCGGATCCCTGTCCCTACCCTCCAAACAACAGTTTATAGGGTTGTATTTATCCATAGTCACTCTATCAAACATTAAAAAAGGAGGATTAAGATAAAAGTATTCATTATTTCATATAGGCATTAATTCACATTAACATAGACTGTTCCAAAACAAATATATATTTTTTCCAACGCTAAAAATTAGCCAAAAGAGTGGATTCGTCATTATAATGTCTAGCTTACCTTTATATCTTTAAAATCTGCTTTAATAGAAGCAGCTAGATTCTTAGATCTGCTTCTAGATTCAATTGTTGAAAAACGTATGGCGTTGTCTCTGGAAAACTCCACTGTGCGTTGGTAAGAGAATAAGAGTGACAAAGGCATGTAACTTATTAGTGCGATTAAGAACATCATTTTGCCTTTTAAGACCCTCAGTGGTCTCTGGATCACACTTTGGGAGTCGTATCATACCTTTAGGGATAGGTCGCAAAGGAAGTAACTTTTGGTTATCTCAGGGACACCACAGAGGGGATCAAACAACGCACACCCCCACTGAGTTATCATCCTAACCACAGAGCGCTTCCTGATTTACCACACACTGCTCGACCTCGGACTACAATTCCCGACAGAGCTCGCGGTAGAGGCGGGCCCGCCACCGCAAAGCCTATGGGTGACTGAATCTGAGTGATGGATGGGAGAGGGGGCGGGTCTTCTAGCAGGCGCGTGCTTTAATTGGAGAAGCCGAGAGGAGCGGGCAGAGCCCATGTTTGGGCCAGCCAATGGTTGGAGGTCAGGAGCTGGGGCGTGGACAGAGCGTGGCAGAACTGACTCGCGGGCTGCGTGGGTGCTCCGAGTCCCGGAAGGCGGGTCTGGCGTGGGGTGGCCGCCCTCCTGGGACCTGGGCTGCGTGCGGAGGAGATGGCGGCGCGATGGAGCAGTGAAAATGTGGTGGTGGAGTTCCGCGACTCGCAGGTGAGCCGGGGCCTAATGGAGCCTTCTGGGCATGCGCCCTGGCTCCTTCTCTCCGCCCCCCACCCCCTCACGCTGTTGGGCCGTCCTCGGGGCAGAGGAGAGACCCCCAGGCCAGGGCTGAGTGAATGGGCAAGGGGTGCTCGGAACTGTCAGACGCGGGCGTGCGTAAGGAGCCTTGATAGCCGTTGGGGTCGGTTGAGGCGGACTCGGCTGGTGCTTCGGGGCGTGGGGTCCACTTTGGGACCCTGAAGCCCCGGAGTGCGCTCCAGTGTTGAGGGGAGACTTCCTGCGCACTGTGGTTCTCGACCTTTCTAATGCCGCGAGCCTTTCATACAGTTCCTCACGTGGTGGTGGCCCCCAACCATAAAATTGTTTTCGTTGCTACTTCATCACTGTCATTTTGGTATTATGAATCAGGCGACCCCTGTGAAAGGGTCGTTCGACTCTGACAGGGTCGCGACCCACAGGTTGAGAACCGTTGGACTCTAGGCCGTGAACTGGAGGTGCTTGCTCCCAGAGATCCTCCCTCGTGACTTTGGGCAGCTCGCCTTTGTTGAGGGGAGTTAACCCTGTAGACTGGGTTTGTGGGGACTCAAGGGAAAATGCTTTGCCAAGGCCCTCTTTCTGCTAGGCTTTCTAGATGGTTGCTGATGATAATAGTGAAAAAATCCCACCCTGGGAACTGAGTGGGGTCACTGCATGTGTCCCTCCTGAGCTGTCGAAAGGGAAGGCAGGAGTCTGAGTCTGCTCACCTTATGTGGTTGGCATGGGTGTGTGTGTGTTATGAGGCAACACATTTAGAGCAGATAGCCTTGGTGGCAAATGGTAAGCCTCTGGGAACATTAACGTTTACTAGCATTTTAGGGAGCGCTGGTTGGCATCGTGGCTTATTATCTTGGGCCAGCTAACCGAGAAGTCAGCAATCGTAAACCACCAGCTGCTCCAAGGGAGAAAGAGGAGGCTTTCTACTCTCATGAAAAGGAACCTGGTGGTGCTGTGGATTTTGGTGTCGGGCTGCTAGCTGCAAGGCTTTTAGTTCATGCCCACCAGCCTGCTGGGAGGAAGATGAGACTACTTGCTCCTGCAAAGATTTCCAGCATCTGAAACCCTCCATGCGGACTCTATGAGTCAGAATGGACTCAGTGGCAGTGGGTTTGTTTGAACAGTTTTATTGGCATATAATTACATAACCATACAATTCAGCAGTTCAATCACAACAAGAGGCAGTGGGTTTTTAATTCATGAAAGTACCATGCATGGGTGTGAGTCCCTTCCCCTAAGCCAGCGATTCTCAACCTGTGTGTTGCGACCCTTTGGGGGTCGATCGACCCTTTCACAAGGTTGCCCAATTCATAACAGTAGCAAAATGACAGTGATGAAGTAGCAACGAAAATAATTTTATGATTGGGGGGGTCACCACAACATGAGGAACTATATTAAAGGGTTGCCACATTAGGAAGGTTGAGAACCACTGCTCTAAGCTGAGACTGAGCCCAAGTGACTTGGCCACGGCCTTTTGTATTGTGGTACCTTGCGTTCGAATGTGAGTGCCCCCACAGGACCTTTGTACATCTCACTGCACATGGCCTCATAGTGGGTCCTTCTAGACCTGTCAGGGAATTGTTCTGCAATAAGCATTATGTCCCTCCTCCCCTGCCATTTAAGACTGGCCTTGCAGTGTGCCAGATTTTCATTTACTCTTCAATCCAACAATTCTTTCTTGAGCTTCTCCCTGGTTGATCCACAGCTGACTGATTCTGAATTGAAAGAAACCTGGTTTGCTAAGGGGAATGAGTGGAGGAACCCTCCAGCAAGATGAAGCCCGCTGGGAGGAAATCAGCAGCAGCCTTTGGATGAAGGGATCTTGAAGCACTTTGCACTGTCAGCATGGTGTCTCTGTGAAGCCAGCTCTCCCAAGGGAGGCGCCAGACTCTGAGGGGAAAAAGCCATATCCCTGTTACCCTTCTGTTAATTGCTTTCACTGGGGGGTTAGGACAGGACCAAATCATGCACTGTGCTTCAGAGCCTGCTAATTTGGAAGCCCTAACGCACAGGTCCTTTAATTCTCACAGAAACCCAGGTAGTCTCATCCCCGCTTCTCTGCAGAGATGTAATTGAGGAGACCTGCTGAGAGGGTGCTGACACATCTGTTAGGATGCTCTGAAGTAGTGTCAAATAATTAAACCTAAGCAGCAGTCGTCATAGGAAGGGGAACAAAGTAAACTCTGCAATTTAACTGCCTTGTGGGAGTTTCCGTTGTTCTTTCTAGATTTTCTGTTCAGTTGGAAGAGGACCTCAAAGTGTGAGTCTGGTGGTGATGGTTGGGGTGTGGGGAGAGATGGGAACCTTTTTTTTTTTTTTTAAATCAATTTACTGGGGTTCATACAATTCATCACAATACATAGATCAATTGTGTAAAGCACATCTATAC